GCCACGAGCCCCCACTCCCCGCTGGGTCGCGAAGCCTAACCTTGCCCGCGTGGTCATGGGCTGTCTAATTTCATTTGTATCTAGGCTGCTGAGAGCATCCCTTGCTCTGTAAAGTGGATGTCAGGTGGATCTATGGTTCTGAAGGAACAAAGACTCAGCGAAGAAACCGCCGAGGAAGTTTGAGACGCGGGAGGATGCAGGCTGCGTGCTGGTACGTGCTTCTCCTCCTGCAGCCCACTGTCTACTTGGTAAGTCGCCCAGCGATCGCATCCGGGCAGGGAGGCGAAGCACCTGGGGTAGGGGCGCGGGAAGAGAGTGGGGGCGCCCGTTCGGCGCGAGCGGCGGCCTCGGCGCCGGCTTCGGAGTAACTTTGCAGAGCGGGGCTCCGGATGCCTGCAGTATTTCCAACCCCAGGTCCTGCTCCACTCTCCCCTCCCCTGTGCGTGGCGGAAAGGCTCCCCCTGACACCCAGAAACCAAGGAGGCAGTGTGGGACGCTGCCAGGGACGAGAGCGGGGTGGGGAGACACGGAGGTCTTGGTAGTTGTAGGAGTTGAAAGGAAATGGGGGCTTTGGCTCCAGAGGCGACTTTGAAAGAGAATCCGCCCCCTCACTTTCCCTGGCTGGAGAGGAGGGTCGGGAGTAAGTCCAGGCAACTTTCCCCTAGTTGTCGGTTTCAGACAGGTGACGTTGAACTAGCAGACGGGAACCTCGCAAACTGTCAGAGCCGGGTCGGTAATACACCGAGAAACACGCAGGGGCTCTTTCCTCCCCTAACTTCTCTCCACCAAGTACAAGCCTCTTTTTAAGGAGCCAACAGGCCTCGTCGCCAGGCAGAGAAACCTGCACAAAACTGCCGCCAGGACCTCGGGAGCAGAATTTCGCGGGCGGGGGGAGGGAGGGCTGAGACTGCACACTTGGAACTGGGCTCCGAGGTGAAGCCCTCTGTGGAGGTGACTTGCAAACTGTCCAAGTCCAGGAGGCGAGCGGGAATTCTAGGGTCCCGCTGCGGGGCGGTCCAGGCACAGGGGCGCCCTGCTAGTGAGGTTGCTCCCAGCGCCCCAAGCCTCAAGTGCACTCTGCGGCCCTGGGAACGCGGTGGGACCTCGAGTGTTTGGTCTCGAGGGGAGGAGCGCCCGGGTACGGCGGCAAGAGCTCTCTTTTGGGGCCGGGTACACGCAGGGGTTGGGGGGCGGTTGTGGTGTACCTCAATCCCAAGAGCTTCAGAACCCACCAGCCGGAGGGCAAAAGGGTCTCCATCCTTGCGCTGGAAAGCGCTTTCCAGCTGTTGCCCGGTGCCTGTAAAGCTGGGTTGCGGACTCTTTCTGTGAGCGGGTAGCATGTGTAGGTACAGTCGGCGTGAATACGTGTGTGGTGTGTGTATGGAGTTAACCGGTTTAGGCTTCAACGCGAGAATCCTCACTGTTGCTGGTCTTTGCACCTTTATCGCCTGACCATGCAGCCTCTGACGCCAGAGGGCGCTGCGCGTCAGTGTCCGAGCCTTTCAGGACACCTTGGGGTAAACAGGTGAAAGCCAGGGCAGCCAATCCGAAAGACAGCCGTTCTGACTGCTTCGGAAGTCTGTGCCTTCCCGGGTCGGAACGCAGACGGAATACAAAAAGTATCCTTCGCGTTTCCCATCTTACACCATCCTCCCCTCCATCTGCGTTCAATAGACCTGCTGACATTGAGAGCCCAGAGAAGGAGGACAGAAAGTTTGGCCAAAGAAATATAGAGATGGTTTATTGAAAGACAGTGAGGAGAGGAGCGCAGAATGAAGGAGGCAGAGGGGAGATGCTTGTTAACGATTCTTTTCATCATCCCAACCCGCTTGCTCTCAGCCCTGCGCACCTTTACGCAGAACCTGAACCTCAGGACTGTACTTATGCCTTGTGGGGCTGTGCTCTCTCTCACACGCGGCAAGGACTCTGTGATGCCGTTGATTGCTTGAAGCAACTCTTTGGATAGTCTGGAAAATAATCTATCAAAAGCAGAAGTGAAATCAATACGTTGTGTTAAATTTTAAATGTGTTTGTTGGCAGTTAAACCGTTTTCCACTCATTACAACAACAGTGCTGGATTTATTCTAATGCGCCCCGTTCTCAACAACAAGCGCATTAATTCTCCTTTAATTGTAAACTGGGAGCATTTGAAAACCATTCAGTGTGCAAATTATGCTGATTCAATTACTGTTTAGTTACAGACTTCATTACCTGAATGCCTTTTGGCAATCCAGAGAAAGGAGACGATTTTTTCAATTTCACTCAAAACAATAGGAAATGTGAACAATAAAACAGAGTAGGCGATTTAGAAGTCCTTCTTTTCTCTCCTATCTAAAGTTGTTTTGTGGATGGGGGATTGGAAACCACAGGCACCACAAAAACAAAAGGCTGCCGGGACCCAAAGCAGCATATTCAAGGGATTGTAATCCCAGGGTAATTTGCCAACGGAATCTCAGCCTGTTTCCTGGAGAAGCGGGATGCACACTTTTACTATGGAAATGAATGACTTGGGCAGTGGTGTGAGGATGATTTTAGGCTTTTCATGAAGCACAGGGTCTGGATTCAAGCGGTAGGGCAATTAAACAGATGAAGAAATAGTCAAAATGTCTTTGTGCATCTGTTTTTCTAAACATCAGAAAAACGAACCAAATTGCTTATTAATTTGTAGCCTTCCTTGGAAACATCGTAGTCCTTGCAAGGACCTGCAATAAATGTGTGCAGGTTGTTAGGAACCGCTGGAAGTTCTCCAAGAAGGCAGAGCTGGCAAAACCACTTTAAAGATTGCATTGTTACCCTCATGAATTGACATAAGCCAAGGAGGGAGTTTAAAGAGTGATTTGGGGGTGGGGGGGATCTTTATGAACTCCCACCACAGGTTATATTACAGGAGCACTCTTCATATTTGTGACTGGTCTCCTGGCTGAACCTCTGTGCACCTTCCTTTAAGCCTCTAGCAGCCTAGGTGTGTTTTCCAAGGACAAATCACTACATTATGCCAAGGGCATAGGGTTTGTTTAGGTACTTATACAGAAATAGTTGAGCTATTACTTCTAGAGAAATACTGTACAGGCTGCCAAATTTGGGAAGAATTTCTTGTGAAAACAACTCTTTGTCCAACAGATTAATGTACCATAGTTGAACTACAATTTCCACCTCTATTTGGGTAAATGTTTTTACAATGTGACTCTTGACAAAGGGTTCTTTGAACACATGTTCCTAGGCAGAATTTTAAGTCTCTGGGTTTATTGAGAGATGGGTCTGCCCTAGTTCAAAAATTGGAAACTATTTTCATACTGCAACAGAAAGTTAATTATAAATATGTGCTCAAAGTTTTCTTCTTGAGCATATTAGCTAGATTACTTGAAAATCACCAAGGACCAACTCCTGTTTAACAGAGGGGGTGGGAAGCTATACTGAAAAAAACACAAGCAAGAAATTCTCTAGATTATTGAATGTTGTGTAATGTAAACATGAAATCTGCATTCAGAAGAGGAGGGACCTATGGCTTAATAATGGTTATTAAAAATAGAAACATCCTGTGATCTGTCAGTTCTGAACCAATGCCGGGATATTTTCAGTATGATAGAATGGGGCAATAACAATTGTACTGAGTTAAAGCACACCCTAAATGAACTGTAGAAGAGTGGTCTCTGGCCCTGGAGAAAGGGTGCCTTGAGTTAGTCTCTGAATCAAGCTGACTGGTAGGCCCTGGTGCAGGGAGAGCATCTTCCAGGTTTCAGAAGGTGGCCAAGGAGGCCAGCTTTTGAGCTCACCTGTAACAAATCCCATCTCAGTGTAGAGAAATCTAATGAGCACCTGTGTGGCATTTCAGGGGAAATGTTAATCAAAAATTGAATCCAGAGAATCTGACAAGAGTTTGAATGTTATTGTGGTCAGTTCTGTGTCCACAGCACAATTCCGATGAGGCTTCTTACCTTCCAGTTTAGTCTGGCCACTTTTGAAATTAAAGTAGCCATTAATCTAATTGCTTTTTGAAACCAAAGTGAGTGAGAAGGAAAAACAAAACAAAACAAAACAAAACAAAACACCTTTCTAAATCTTGTACATAAATTTCATGGCATCTATGCCCTCAAATATGGGATGTTCTTTAAAATGTGAATTTCAAAGCAGTTATTTTGATATAGAGGTTAAAGAGCTGTGACTACCTCCAAGGAAAACCAGAACCTCGGGCACTGTTAGAGCCTGACCCCTGGGGTGAATCCCACAAACTAGAAAGGCTGGTAGGGTCCAAGGGTCTCAGCTATGTGGACAGCCCTGGTCAAGTTCATCATGCCCTTTGGACTCCATATGTGTGTGTACTTTCCATCCTTTGAAAATAAGCCAGCTGCTCGCTGAAAATTTAAATCAGTTCGGATTTATACTTGAGAAGAAAAGCATACTTTTAACTAACTCACATGACTAACAAGTGCTCTTCCTGGAGTTGGCACTAAAAGTTCCCCAACCTCATTGGATAAACAGAATTTCCTGACTCTTCTACCTCAGACCTGTCTTTCTGACAAAGCATTCTGTCTGGAGTTTTAGAGAAGCTGAGGTCACAGGGGTGCAACACACAGCTCATCACTCCCAAGACTTCTTCCAGAGCTCCTTGGGACAGAGAAGTTCCTGTGTTTACCAGAGTCTGTCCCTGAACTTTCAACTCACCAGAGACCAGGAGAGCAGCCCCCTGAGGTGATTGGAAGCACTGGGTAGGTCACCCTCCAGCTGCATTTTCAGGAGGATTATTGTGGCCTGTGGCCTTCCAGTGACAGCTTCGGGGAAACTGTCATCAGTCTTAGAAGGAGAGCAGCAGAATTGCTCCAACTCTCTCTGAGCGGTATTTTCCGGGAAAGCCATTAAGTTCCTGGCTCGTCTTTGTGCGAAGTTGATTTCTATTTGGCTGTGAATTGTTGACGGCTATTTCCCCCTTAATGAAAGTGTTGTCTGGGTGAAAAATATATCGGGTGGCAGGGAGATTGGTTGATTTTTTTGGAGATAGGTGCCCAATGCCCTACTTTTCTATCTGAGGGAAGATTTTCTGCAGACTACAGAAATTGACAGCATTGTGCGGGTAATAACCACCGTCGACAATATTTTCAAAAGGGCATTTGTGTGATGAAAGCATTTGGGTATTGCTTTTTCAAATAAGCAATTTTCTGGCTTGCGCTGCTTTGATTTTATAAGGAAGGGGCGGGGAGAGGGCGAAGGGCAGTTGGGGAGAAGGGCCCAGCACTGGCCAGGTGATGGTTTT